CGTAAGAATGGTATTATAAAACTGGAGAATTACTAATTCTCACGTCCTTTCTTCGGACCCTTTGGACAGTAAGGGAAACAGATTCGCCGAGGCTTTCTGAAGATGCTTCGAATACGTCTACGTATACTCCGTCGGATGCGACGCCATCCAGCCGACATGAGGACACTTCCCTGTCTATCAGTCTCATCGGGCCCTTCAGCCAACTCCTCTCCTTCCTCCTCCATGTTCTCCATCTCTTCGGTCACTTCCTCACCCTCCGTGTGGTCGGGCACCTCGAACAAGTCCGCCTCCAATTTCCGCGCTGTCTCGATATCTGTCACTACGGTAGCAGCTGCGCGATGTGAGGCGAATGCAAGAAGGAGAAGAAGGTACACCAGAATCGAGTGTGATCGCATGTTGTGGTTTAGTGATGTTAACGATAACCACATAGGAACATTGTGTGCACCGCCCATGTCTCATGTTTGAGTACTCAGTCAAGCCTTTGTCTACCGTTTGAAAATCACATCACATAAGAGTGAGTGGCTTTGACAATACTTAAGTATCGCCGTTGACAGCAGATATGGTCGAAACTAATTAAGCCAATGTCGTTTGGTACACATCGTACTGATGAATGGGCAAGCATCGTTACTAGGTGATGGGCCTTCACAAATACCAGAATTACTTCTGAAGACATCAGAAAGACATTCGACTCTAGAATGGCCCATACTGAAAGTGCACCAAAGGGATGAGAGACTAGTTACATGGCTGTGCGTCATCCGTTTGGTAACCGAAGCAGCAGAAATTAAAAGCAGTCCTCTGGTTTAGCATAATTATTTTAGTCATCTTACTTGGCACCGACTGTGAGGATGAAACGATTATTCTCTATCGCTATGAGACTACGTTCATTTTACATAGTACTGCAGGAAAATTTTAGACTGCTGTAAAATGGACTCTGTTCGGCAGTAAGCGCATTTCAAAACCTCCATGGCTTTTGCAAATTCCTGAATTCTGGAGTTTGAATTGAAGGCCAATAACGGAGGAAGACCAGATGCGACTTAATGGGCGAAATTCCTTTGAGAACTGCTAACAATTTTATAAACATAACGACGTATATCACAGTCAGAAGGGATGGTATTAAAATGTTAAGGATTTGAGATTTATACCTGCACCTGAACATTATCCAAACTTGAGAACAATTGCTCACAAGATTTTCTGTGTAATGCGTTTTGCCTTGTAAGGGACACACTATCCGAAAATCTGAATTAAATTTGTCACATGTACTAGCATTAATGAATAATATTCTCCCTATGTTGAATACATATCTTTGTTCCCAATTTCGTTTATGCGAAGTATCGTACGCGTGGTATCTGTGTAAGGATTCGTAAGTATCACGCCTGAACAAAGGCGAACCGCACCAAAACGAGCTTAATTTACGATTTGTTTTTGAGAGGACTAACGTTGTCCACAAAAGGAGGCTCAATATACCGGTCACCTTTTGTCCAATAGCAGACTGACACATCATACTCTCAGATCGGGGTACAGATAGCTAGGATTGCTTCGTTGCTGAGACTATGGAAAGCAAAAATTATGAGCTTTACGGAAGCCGATGAGGATTTGGCAGCAACTTTTGTGAGTCACCTCCGATTTTCCCATAACAGCCGCCTTCCTTCTGCGATGGTCAGATGCGACACCCAGCAAATGGCAAGGCACAATCCAGCATTCAATGCCATCTCTTGAGACTTACTAATGTAAATTTGTATTGAAGGGGGCATTCTGTTAGCACACAGAAGTACGGGATGGCTGTAACTAAAATAGGATGCCATAACAACATAATGGAGACCAAACAAGAGCGACTACTGAACACACACATTTAAAGTTGCAAGGCCGACAAATCTCTTTTAGCCAAAGAGACACAACTTTTACGACCCCCAGGAGTAAAAAGGGAGGGGATTGAATTAATGGGAAGAATAAGTCAGTTCTCATAATCCATATGATACAAAAATTTGGCCATTCATTTAAATGTGGATAAATGAGCCCAGGTAATTAATGTTGCTTATTCGACCTAAACTAAACTGCCCAATTATTATGTACGTTCATAATATGGCCTTTCAAAGATTCCCTTAGGTATGTTTTACGGTCACAGAGTTTGGCGACAGATGTTAATGACTGATTCTGCGAAGGCTGTCAACATAAAGAAAGTACTGTTGGGATCCTGTCGATTCCTAAATTCTTTCTCGCTATTTGTTTCTGTCGACAGCTCTGAACAAGTGGGGAAAGCACGTTTGAAACCTCGTACAATTTTTGAACTCATTTATCGCAATATGTATCGCATCAAAATAGCGAGAAAACTAAGAATAATCGCTGAAATGACAGAAAATGGGGTTATGGCATTGAATACACAGCATTAGCTTCGTGACACCACGTAGTGGTGGGTGTCTGATTAGGTGGTTTCACTGTTAGCTTAATGTTCTTACGAATGACACTTGATGTAACAACTACTGTCCTTTATGGGTCTGAGCAATGGACGCATTTAACTATACCTGTGAAATCTAATGTCTTCCTGGATTGATTTAAAAAAAGTATATGGCCGTTGACCATTTCCCTCGCCTGCCTAAATATTTCTGATTATCTTGCAATGTCTTTGTACTCACCCAAAAAAGGCCTTACATTTCTTCCAGTACTAAAACATTCTTTGTAGCCATGGTGCATAAAAATGCAATTTCTTATCACCCGCAATTAGTCCTAAAACAAGGTATTTGACGCACTCTATACTGGACTAGTACTGGTCTTCCATTATAACACCCGTAGAAATTATTTAATGTGTTCGTGTTTATTTAAGTATCTCGTTCAACAATTGCATTCATTTTTAGGTTAAAGCCGATTTTGCGCATTTGTTATGCTTACCACATAGCGGCGATGCTTGCCTATTCACTAAGACAAATGGGTACCAAGTGACGAGGGCGTGATCAGTGTACACAGCATCTGCTATCCAATGTAATAGTGGTGTGTTATCAAAACCGCCCGCCCTAATAAACAATGACTACAAAAAGTTAAACAAACGCTTGACTGAGCATATAAATATGTGATGCAGGCGGTACACATCATGTTCATACGCGGTCGCCGTTAACGCCACCAAATCATAACATGCGATCACACTCGATTCTGGTGTACTTTCTTCTCCTTCTTGCATTCGCCTCACATCGCGCAGCTGCTACCGTAGTGACAGATATCGAGACAGCGCGGAAATTGGAGGCGGACTTGTTCGAGGTGCCCGACCACACGGAGGGTGAGGAAGTGACCGAAGAGATGGAGAACATGGAGGAGGAAGGAGAGGAGTTGGCTGAAGGGCCCGATGAGACTGATAGACAGGGAAGTGTCCTCATGTCGGCTGGATGGCGTCGCATCCGACGGAGTATACGTAGACGTATTCGAAGCATCTTCAGAAAGCCTCGGCGAATCTGTTTCCCTTACTGTCCAAAGGGTCCGAAGAAAGGACGTGAGAATTAGTAATTCTCTAGTTTTATAATACTATTCTTAGTTTACAATGGTCATTTTCTTGGTTTCCGAGGGGACTTAAATTTCGATGTTACAATAATTGCGGATCGTTGGAAAAGTATGGCAGAGATTTAGGTTACTATCTTCAGGACTTTACCACTATTGAAGAGGGCTGCCTTAACAATGGTGTAGAATTCACTCTCAATGAGATGGTGTGAGATAAATAAGGTACAAAATGAGAGTGGAATACATGATCGGCGGTGTGACAAATATTACACCTCAGGGACCAAACCTCTTCCAACCCCTCTTCGGTGCTACTGACAACAGATTTACCGAAAAAAATTAAGTAGCATGATTTGGTAAGGCTTTCACAGCAATCCCAATTGTTAACCAATTTCAAAGTGTTTAACAAAGTCGGGTAACTTATCGTTTGTGCTTGTGCTCCAATTGCCGGGTGTTGCTATGAAATATGGAAACATTAAAAGGTTGCTAAATCTGTGGTTTATGAATGGTAATTATGCATCATTGCTCCAATTTCTGCCATGCAACGTGCACCCCATTGCAAACCAATTTGAATGTGTTCTAGCATCCTGGAGTTTTGCTTGACAGCATAAATTCACAAATCGTGAGTCGGTGGCCAGTGAGTGGGCTATGTAATTCACACTAACTGCAGATGCTTGTGCAACTGGGGGGATTTTCCCTTTCTTAGTGTTACTCCAAGAGGTCGCACCAGGTGTGATTCTATAGCATGGTTATACCGGAGTGTTAACAGGGCTAGGAATGCGGAAGTTATGAGATCGGAGACTAATGCTGCAGACTGAATGTCCTCACGTTTGAGAAGATGCACCGGTGTGTCCTCAATTTTTCCTCCCTTGCATACTCCCTACCCATTTTCTGCTCGTGTTCATCCTCGATCCATCTCGAATTCAACATAACCTCTGGACTAACAAAGGGGTGAGAGGATGGATGTAACATGGCGCCTGTGGTTCCGCCAACATTCGTACATTTTCGCTTCTCCTTCATCGTTTCGCCTAGCTCCTTCCCATTTCCCATTTGGGTCAGTGGC